GCAGAGGGGGGGGGGAAAAAAAAAACTCTCTCTCTTGCATTCTTTGGATACAAAAATCAAAAAGAGAAATAACTCTTTCCTACCAGAAAATAAACAAAGCATATAAAACATTTTGCAAATTTCCTCACGGAAGAGCAGTTGTAAGGAAACCAAATAGAGAAGGGAAATACCTTTTCATTCAGAAAGTGGGGGGAAAAAAACATCTGAAGCATAATAAAAACTCAATATAGCTTAATAAACCATTTTAAATGTTTGGTTTTCCATTAGAAACCTGATATCTCCACAGCCCTTCCCCTTTAAACAATTATTGAAACAATAAACCATTGCAGAGCAATTCTGAATTTGAGAAGGAGTTGAACCATAAGATATGACGATCTACACTTCCAATTCATCTCCTCTTCCACCAGTCAGAGATTGGACTCCAGGTTTTGGTTTGGTCTGTTTTGTGTGGATAGGAGGTCTGGCCATGAAATCCAAATTGGATTCAGATTTCCACCCCTCTCCACATTTAGGGGAGTACAGATCTGGATTCCCTGTCTATTTCATGGGTTAATGGTATTCATCTGCCACCATCATTTAACTTGCGTCATCTTTAGCATGGTTGAGGACACTGTGCAGGACATTGCTATCTTAATGGTCTCCGCTGATGAATCTCATGATAAGCCTGCTAAAAAGGTGACATTAACATGTGAGTACGTGTTGTTGACTTAGCAGTTTAAGCTGGGCTGACAGAGACCACAGGTCTCCAGCAAGGATTTTGCTTATTTTAACATCCCTTGCCCACAATAAAATGTTAATGTATAGGAGGGAATTCATTTCAGGACCTCGACAAAAAAGTAGTTGCGTTCAGAGTCACTGTTTTTAAAAAAAAAAAAAGAACATTTTACTGTTCCTGTCTGCTTCCTTATGTGTTTTCTGGATCATAGCTTGGAAAACAAAATTTTATTGCTGCATTTTCTCCCCAGTCAAAGAGTCAAAAAAGGGCAAACGGCATTCACTTTTGTGTATGCATCGTTAACAAAATTACAAGAGTACAGATTTTTTTGGGTCATGATGCTGCATGAAGCACAAAAGCACAGCTTGATTATATGATTCCATCTTGAACCTCCATTTAGAAACTAGATTGTCAGTTATAGTCACAGGAAAAAGCTAATTTAGGAGGCAGAGTAAGAATAAATATGTAAATTTAATGGCTAATGTTACTGAGCTACATGTAGGGTTTTATTCTCCCCACAACTTCCATAGACTGTAATGGGAGTCAGGTGCTACAGCCCTGACAACGTGCCCAATGTGGTGGGAGGGGGCACTTATTTGATATCTTTCTAGTCTCATTTGTAAGTCTTACAGCATTTCAAACAGATGAGCACTCATTGAAGTGCACACAGGTGGGTTTCAATGTATAATCAGATATCTCGTGAACTTAGAAGCAGTTGAGGCATTACAATTCTTCAAATAAGCATGCTGTACAATGTTGCAATGGGTAACTTTTTTACTTATGAGATAGGTGGGATTTCACCTGTATTGAGTCACCTAGACCTTCATCAGTACTGTTCAAATAAAATTAAATGTACAAGTGTTGCCTTAAGCATATATGGCACTTTATCCCAAAGAACCCCAAAGTACTTTACAGACTGTGGACCAGAATCTGATCTGTTACATAGGTATAAATCAGAGTAACTCCCTTTGATTTTTATTGGTTGCCCTGGATTTATAGCAGTGTTAGTTCAGAATTGGGCCCTCTGTCAGGCTGGGTCTACACTACCCGCCTGAATCGGCGGGTAGAAATCGACCTCTCGGGGATCAATTTATCGCGTCCCAACGGGACGCGACAATCGATCCCCGAATCGACGCTCTTACTCCACCAGCAGAGGTGGGAGTAAGCGCCGTCGACGGGAAGCCGCAGAGGTCGATTTTG